CCCAAAACCCCAAAACCCCAAAACCCCAAAACCCCAAAACCCCTTAATGCCACTCCAAGGTTGAACTTTATTAAATATCTCTACTCTTAGCACCTTTGATAAGATTTTTGATGGCTCTTTTGCCCTCAATTCTGAAGTCATGCTTGATTCTGGGTTTCACTACAAATTAAGATATACAACTTACCCACAAATTTAGTGTTGATAGAATTAAAGGTCGTGTTCATTGGAGATTCATTATAGATCGTGGTGTTTTCAGGCACCTCTTTAGTAGGAGAAGTGAACAAGTTCCTTCCCTCTTTAGGCTTAAGTAGCTTAGAGAAGTTCCTCTTCCTCGAATCGAAGAAGTTATCCATAGTTGATTCGTATTTCGAGGTCAGTATGTTCTGGAAATGGCTTGATGTTTGTTCAAAATCTAGATGTTAAGCACCAAAGTACCTCTATTTCTAAAATTTGGATTCTCTAAGTCTTTTCTGCTTTCTAAAATTATAGCAAAGATTTACTAAAATAATTAGCTAGCAGCCGGGTATTTGAATGAGGGTTCTCTTCCTGTATAGGAGAAACTAGTCTATTCTTAATTCTTCTGGCTCCTAAAAATCACATGCACAAGTTACTGAGTGACTCTGCTCTTTTATTGAAGTAGTTAGTCTGAGATTTATGTTTATTCTCGAACAAATCTTTTTGGTTGACTCTTTCTACTGTCAAATTTGGGCTACTCATAAAGATAAGAAATTACTTATTTTAGCACCACTAGAGGTTTGTTCTTCTTGCTATAGAATTAGGATTGATCATTACGTGAATGATATCTTTCCATTCAAGTAGTTATCATGAGTTTCACTGATGTTTCGATGCATCCCATCCCTGTTAAATTGAACTTCAGACACTTGGAGAGAATCATCAAGGCCTAATGATCTACTAGCTGAGTTTTTCCCTTGGGTTAGAATCTGATCTCGTGGAGTTATAGACATTTCATTCGGAATCATAGTTCTTTGAGTGTTTGGTTGATCATATGTTGCTATAGATATAAATTAAAATGTACTTGATTCATAGTTCTTCAAATTTCCCATGATATTTAGTGAAGGTACTTGAACTTCACTCTCAGTTTGAACCCCTTTCATAGCTTTGAGTTTTGAAATAGTCTGCATTTTAACTTCTTTTGTTTCTTTTTCAAAATTTACTTGGATTTCTCGAGAAATGCAATTCTCTTTTAAGCTTTGGAAAAGCTCAGTTATACCAGGAGTTTGGGTTTCAACATCTTTTCCTACTGGAATTTCAATAACTCTCGAACTATTATATCCATCAAGACTCTCTGAACTTCCCATAGCACTCTTAGGAAGATCCTTATTAACCTCAACATCGAGTAATTTCTTATTAGATTTCATATCTATAAAATCCTAAAACCCTCTTACTCTTTACTTCAAAATCCTTGGGTAGGCTAACATTTTTGCTACTCATTAAATTCTTAGTGCTCATTCTCTTATTCACCAAAAGGTGACCTAAATATTACTCTGTGTCCTACTCTCCCTTGACTCGTTAGTTCCTCTCTTACTTTCTAACTTGGCTTCCAGCTCCTTTGCTTTCTACAGCTTAAATTTCATTTTTACCTTAAAATGGTAATCTCGTTCTTTAAGGGCCATCTTCTTGTCAGTTTCCATTTCATTTAACCTCTTCGTAATTTCTCTGATCTCTATCCTATTCGCTTTGATCTCTTGGTCGGCCTTCTTCAAGCTCTGCTTGAGCTTAGCTACAGTGGCTTTAACCTGGTTCTTATCTAAGATCAAAGTCTCATTCTGCTTGTTCTTCGTGGTCAAGGCTGTCATGAGGCGTTTTCAGTCACTATCCTTGCGACTGGCTTCTTCACGAAAGAAGGCAAGCAGAGCTTGCTCTTCTTTCAGAATTTTAGCAGTGGACTCATAGTTTTGAAGGTGCTCCTCCTTAGCCTTGGTCTGTGTCCCAAGATCGATTTCAAGAGCGTTTATTTTTAAGTTCAAGGCGTCTATTTGAGCTGTCTTGGTCTGGAGCAGAGAGTCCTTGTTTTCCATGGATTTCAAGTAGTTGATAGCTAGAAGTTAGAGGAAAGGTACATTTCATAGTGATGTCTTCTAGCTGCATTGAGATGTGCTCGATATGGATTTTGTATTTATCACGGATTTGGTTGAATTTGTCTTGGTTCTCCTCTAGAATTTCGTCTTTTTCGTTTTCAATTTTGGAGAGCATGAGGGTTTTGGTGTTGAGCTTGACAGCTAAGAAGTGATAAAAAAGTCTTACTTAGATTTTCTACCTGTGCATAGAGGTTATTGCTTTTCTCCTGCATATTTTCATTGAGCTAAACTTTGAGAAAATAAACTAATTACTTCTTTCATATAAGAATTAACCTTTTCAAGATTCTCGTTTTTTATTTTCAAATCTTTGACTTGCATTTCAAAGTCCTTGATTATCGACTTGATGTTAAGCATTTGAGTATTATTTTCAGAATTTAGCTTGAGCTCTTTCTCAAATTTAGCAACCCAGATAGCCTTGTTCTCCCTTTCAGAGTTAAGAAGCTGTTGGAACTGAGAGATCCTGTCATTAAGTTGGTCAATTTTAATAGAATATTGCTTCTGGATTGAATTAACTTTGATATCTTTAGTATCTGACTCTCTTTCCAATTTGTTGATATCAATTTCTTGCTTCTCTATGGTAAGTCTCAGCTCATTAATGTTGCCTTCAAGGCCTCTGATGTTCTCTTCTAACTCGGCTGAGAGTATCTTTTCATCTTTGAGGTCAATTTCAATATCATTTCTGAACTTATTGGCTATAATGGTAAGTACTATGAATACCTATTTGATATTTTTCATTTAAATTGTTCTGCTCAGTATTAAGGTTTTCAAACTTATTCTTCAATTTTTCACAATCAATCTTGGTGTTTTCGTGGGCATTGACTTCTTCCTCAAGCTTTACTTCCAGTTTCTTTACTTCCTTTTTGTAGTGGAGAACTTGTAGATTCTTGTCTTTTCTAAGGGTCTGGAACCCTTCAAGCTGTACTAAAGACTTCTCTAATGCTTCTTTAGTGCTCTTATACAGCTGCTCAAGTTTAGTAATCTTGTCACTTTTCTCTGTGAGACATATTTTGAGCTCTATGGTTAAGAAATAGACACACCTTTGGTATTATCAGACTCTGTTTCTTTAGAGTTTTCCAAATCTGTGATTTTCTCTAGAAATTACTCAAGGTTAAGTACCCTTTAGGAAGCCAATCTGGATCTTCAATTGATCATTTTCTGGAGCATTAGACAATGGCAACTATACCTGATTTATAAACTGTGTAGTCAAAGTTTTCTTTGTCATATTTCTTATTTCAATTTGTCGAGTTTTTTTGTGAGGTCATCTATGCATTTTAAAATGAGCAGTACCTCATATGTCAGATTTAGTCTTGAGATCTGCCTTCAAAGTTTTAACTTTATCCTGATCGCGGTAGTTCTGAGCCTCAAGTTCAGTATTTTTCAACTTGAGAGTCTTAAAATCTTTTGTAGTTTTCTCCAACTGTGATTCAAGTTTCTTATTCATTAAGAAAGTATCTTCATAAAGCTTGTTAGACCTCTTCAGCTGTAGGTCAAGGTCACGGTGTAACGAATGCATTGAGTTTAGTTTGGCTTCAAACTTAAGTCTGAGCTTAATCTCCTGTTCATGATACTTCTTGTCATCTATAGCCACGATAACTCTTGTCACTGGGAAGATTCTTACCGATGAATTCCTCTTCAAGTTTCATTCTTTTGCTATTTTTCTTCTATGATAGTTTTCTGGAATGACTCGACTTTGTTATTTAAGCATATTTTCATTCTTAAGGATCTCTTGTATTTTCTCGTTGAATTCAGCTATATCCTCGCTATGCTGGGTTTTGATCTGGTCTAGCTCATTATTTATGCCCTTCTGTGAGAGCAGAGAGGATCATTTTGTAATCAGTCTTGCATGTGTACTCCAGGAGGATTATGTACACTCTGAAAATACTTGTAACGGTGGTGAATTTGTGCTTGCTGTGCTCTATTTTTAAGCCAGGGAGTTACTCAAAATTTCTTTTATTAGCTCATAAAATCCGTTTGTGTATACGAATAAAGTTTTATAAAGTCGATCTATCATTTCTGAATTTAACCTCTCATTGCTGAGAGATAACCTATCAATCCCATATCTAGAGATAGGGAGCTTATTTTGAGGCTTGAGGAGTACCTCAGGAATCTCAAGGTACTCAGCTTCTTTAAGGGTATCATTTATCCATGTCTCTATTACCTTCTTTTTCTCTTCCTTCTGAATGACCTGGGCAATGTCCAGATTGCCAGCCCTGGTCTTCCTACTTTTGTCTCTGGGAGACAGGATGGCAGGCAATTTAGAGTTGTTGGCTCTGGGTCCTGGAGACAATGAATTTTGATAAAATTACTAATATTCTCAGGTGATTTAATCCCTCTCTTATTTTTGAAACGATAAATTGTCTGCTCCCTAAGATGTAAGCAGCTGTCTTACTCTGTGAAGGACCCTTGAGCTATTTCTGTCTTAGATTCTTAAGATCAGAGTTAGGGTCTCGAGCGAAAGAAGTCTGGAAAATTTTGAATCTGTGTGAAATGTCTGGCATTGCTTGGTTTGGATCTACCGGCATATCTATTTTGTCTTTGTAATTCGAATCAAAAGTCTATATTTTCATTTTTGTGACCTCATGATGGCACAAGATTGTGAGAATAGTTTAGTTAAATATGAAATGGCCTTACTTTATCTTCCATTCCTGTAAACTTTATGTAAGAAATATTCAATTTTAATCTTCATCTTAGGGGTTTTGGGGTTTTGGGGTTTTGGGGTTTTGGGG